ATTTTTCCAGCATCGTTTGCGTGAGCTGCGATTTGAAATTAGTGCCCTGATCGGAGCAGATCATCTCCGGAACGCCTGTGCGACTGATTATCTCAATCAGTGCATCACAAGTCGCCTTAGCTGCTAAAGAGCGCAGTGGGTCACCTCTGGCCACCTCGTGCAAAGATCCACTAAGCACAGCGCGTACTTAAGCCCTCTCGCTGACGGCGTGTCTAGGGGTCCGATCACATCTACATTGACAACTTGGAAAGGGTGCTCGGGTCTAGTGAGCGGAGTTATAGGCACTTCATCCGTGTGACGCTTGTCTGAACGAATTTGACATTCATGGCACGAACGACAATGCTCTAATATCTCCTTCGCCATACCCGGCAAAAAAAAATTAGACCTAATGCGAGCTCTTGTTTTCTTTGACCCTAGGTGCCCCCCGCATAGCGACTCGTGTGCTAAGTGCATCACCTCAGTGCGCTTATGCCCTTTCGCACACCCAGCGAGCCGAGACGAACCTCCAAAGCCGGAAATTGAATGATTGCGCGCGGAACGTGATTGCCCCCGCAGGTAGCAAGCGGCCTTTGACTTTCTCCGCTTACCTTGTGCTTGGGTCGTGCATCGCTGCGAATTTGAGCCGATCACCAGAACAGAGCATGTCGCCTACTCCCACTGAGCTCGCGCCCGGCAGTGGAGGCAGGACGGGGTCGCTTATACCATTGTGCGTTTGCCCCCGGCAGGGGCGACTTGTCTCTAAAACCACAAACATTCCAAGCCGTTTGGCAGAGCGGGTTCGTTTCACATTGTGTGTTTGTCCCCGGCAGCGGAGGGGACGGGCGTAGTTTGCATTTTAGAGGATAAGTGGTGTATAGGTACATGGGCATACCGAGAGAGAGTCGAGAAAGAAGCTTTGTATAACGTAGCTTCCCGCGCTGTCGTCCCATGCTCAAAGGAAGCAATTTGCAACCTTGCCAAGAGAGATCCGAGAAAGAGGCTTTGAATAACGTAGCTTCTGGTGCTGTCCCATCCGCGCGATCAACTTATGAGCGGCAAAACATAACAAACCTTGTTACACAAGATCAACAAATTCGCTCTTAGGGTCCCCATTGGAACGTCCACTGCACGGCTCATTGAGACAGGCACATTCAACACCTTACCGGAACTCATTGAAGCTTACTTAGCCTCTGAACATGCCAATCTCTCCAACACACAGACCGGAAGATGCATACTGACACTCTCACTATGAGGCCAACTCCAATCACTAACACCGATAACACGTACTATTTCGCACGAAATACTAATGAGTCTACACATTCCGCCGTTCTTTATAAACATACCACAGTGCACCACGATCAACGTCCCCGACAGCGTGCAAAAACTCTTGAAACACGATTCTCTATTTCTAAAAACGTGCTCTACGTCGATGCTACCGAATACAGTACTCGCGTTTTTTCGCCCTCTCATTTGTCAACTCACAAGATGAGATAGCTACTGCTGCTTTAATTTCTGCTTAAGCTTCTGAAAAGGCTGAGGAAGCATCCATTGATCTCGTGCTTACATTTCCAAATTTACCTATTACTACCGATTTAAAACGGTCATCTACATTTTCGAAGTGGGCCGGTTGTCGAAAACAGCCTTATCCTTCCTCCTGGCTCATGCCTCGGAACAAGACAACGCTTGAGTATGATCCCCGTTCACGCAGGTTCTGCAGGAATCGAAGGGACTCACGGCAGCGTCCGAGGATTTGGGTCTTGGCGTAGGCACTGAAAGAACCAAGCTTCGTTTCGGCAACGGTGCTGTTTGCTGCGCGAAATGGTCTTCTAACATTCCACGACATCTGTAATCACTAACGCCTTGACCATCTAAACTTACCGCCGACTAATGTCGAAATCCCCTCGATGGCGCGTACCACTGTGGCGACAGTTGCAGACCTGCACCTTTCCCTCTCCTTACTTTCTTCACCACATGCACCTTCTCTACATGTGCTGTTCCTGCAAATATTGCTCCATAAAAAAGCAAACCATCTTCGTGGCATGTGGAGGTGCCCTAAGCGCCTCCCTCTCCCATCCCTCCAACAAGAAGTAAGCAATAAGAATCAGTGGAAGGCTTCCTTGCGCAGCTTGAAACTCGACGTCCAGGAGGCCGACCTGGGTTGGGCAGAGAGAATTGCGGAGGACTACCAAGTGTCATAACCTCTGTCATCTGTGTCCCATTGCCTCCTTCCTTTCTAAAGAAAAAATCAAGTTCTTGCCACCACCACGACCACTATGTCCGTCCACGTTCTTGTCCATCACGGAGAAATTTTGTATGTGAGACGTAAAAGAAGCTTAGAAATAAACTGATAATAATGAGGCTTGTGATGAAACAAGCTGAAATTCATAAAAGCATGAACCTCCTATACTTGTTAGTGAGTTGAACGTACACTTTAGGACCTCTGAACCTAGCTTTTCATTTGGCACTCCCTGTCGGCCATCATGGTGTATAGGAAACCGTTGCTGCAGTCGAAACGTATGTGTGTAATTGAATAAAAAAGGTTTGCAATAGGCGAACAATAAGCATAATTCTGACGAAAGAATATAAATAACTTACAAGCACAATACCTAATACTACCGATGAAATACTAGCGCGAACTGAAAACACTGAACGAAGATGGGGCAGATACGATGACAAATAGAGCGACGAGTGGCAGGGATGTGTCTGTTCTTCGTCCCGTGGTTTACGTTCTTACTGCTTTTACCATCGTTATTCACATACTTGCCCTGCATGCTCACTACCTTTAAACGGACGGTGATTTCAGCAAAGACCTTATCGACCATACAATCTAGCTTCATCACTCACATCATGGGAACGCGTCAATTGTTTTCGCCTATTTGAACAAAGGAAGCTGGCAACATAAAGGAATGCTATAGCATTATTGAATGCTAGGTGTCGTATGCTACATTATTGATATGCTAGGTATCGTAATTAAACTCAATAAGAGATACAAGATCAAGGTTGTACAGGATTACGCGCCGACACCAAGCCAAAAGACGCTTCAGTTTAAAGCTTCTAAGAAGACGTGGAATCGGCAATGAGTAAGGTAAAAACAGAGTATACTGTACTGATGGGAGACTTTAATGCAAAGGTGGGGAAGAAGCAGGCTGAAGACCAGGCAGTAGGAGATTATGGCAATGGCACTGGAAATGCCAGAGGAGAGCTACTATTAGAATTCGCAGAACGCAATTATTTAAAGATTTTGAATACCTTCTACCGAAAACGAGGAAACCGTAAGTGCCAGGTAGGAGCCCTAATGGCGAAAATAAGAACGAAATAGACTTTACAATCAGTGCACCCCCCGGCATCATGTAGGATGTGAAAGGGATTGGCAAGGTACGATGCAGTGACCATAGACTGGTACGGTTTCGAATTTGCCTAGTTTCGAAGAATGAACGGCAGAAACTGACACGCAAGAATGCAATCAATGAGCTAGCACTAAGAGGAAAAACACAGAAATTCAGAGTCTCGCTACAGAACACGTACTCGGCTTTTATTGAGGAAACAAACCTCAGCGTAGATACAATGAACAATAATCTAAATAAAAGGAACAAGCAGGATTTCGAACAGGGTACTCAACAATCGACCACATTCATACTATCAATCAGGTAATAGAGAAATCTCTGAATATAACCAACCACTATACATAGCCTTCATAGATTACGAGAAGGCGTTTGATTCAGTAGAAATATTAGCAGTCATGCAGATACTGTGGCATCAGGGCGTCAATGAAGCATATAAAAGCACCCTGAAAGAAATCTACAGGGGATCAACTGCTACCTTAGTTCTTCAATAGAAAGCAACAGAATACCAATCAAGAAGGCTGTAAGGCAGGGGGATACAGTCTCTTCAATGCTATTTACCGCGTGCTTACAGGATGTTTTCGGAGGCCTATAATGGGAACCGTTAGGGATATGAGTTAATGGAGAGTACCTCAATAACCTGCGCTTTGTCGATGACATTGCCGTTGCATTTCTGAGTAACTCAGGGGACGTATTGCAACTCATGATTTCGAAGTTAGACAAGGAGAGCAGAAAGGTGGGTCTTAAAATTAATCTGCAGAAACGAAAGTAATGTAAAACAACCTCAACCTCGGAAGAGAGCGGCACTTCGAGAAAGGTAATAGTGAACTTCAAATTGTAAAAGACTATGTCTACTTAGGGTAGATAAAAAGTGCGGAGCCGATCAACGAGATTGAAGTAACTAGAAGAATAAAAATGTGGTGGAGCACATTTGGCAAGAACTCTCAAATTATGACAGGTAGATTGCCACTATCCCTCAAGAGTAAGGTATATAACAGCTATATCTTGCTGGTACTTAGCTACGGAACAGAAACCTGGAAACTTACAAAGACGGTTCAGCTTAAATTGAGGACGACGCAGCGAGCAATGGAAAGAAAAATGGTAGGTGTAACCTTAAAAGACAATAAAAAAGAAGAGTAAATTAAGGAACAAACTGGTGTTAAGTATATCATAGTTGAAATCACGAAGAGGAAATGGGCATGGGCTGGGCATGGAGCGCGTATACGGGATAATCGGGCGTCATTATGGGAACTAACTGGATTCCCAGAGAAGGCAAGCGGGTTAGGGGGAGCCAGAAGGTTAGGTGGGCAGATGAGATTATTGCGGGTATAGATTGGCAGCAGGAAGCACAATACCGAGTTATCTTGTGGAACATAGGAGAGGCATTTGTCCTGCAGTGGACGTAGTCAGGCTGCTGCTGCTGATGATGATAAAACTAAGGAACCCATACCAACTAGTCCAATAACTATACTACTGGAACTGTTCGAAAACAGCTCGCGACGTATGTCTGGCACCAACGCTGATTATCGCTGGCTGTTTGCCTCCACCTGTGAGGTAGAAAAGGCGCTACCTTAGAAAATTCATTGCGCAATCGTTTCTAATGTGCGTTGAGCAAAGTAATTTGAACAAGCGGAAACTCGGTAGCCTTCTGTAATAAAAACGCTCAGAATTTTTTTGCAGGTACTTTGTTGCACACTCTCAACATGGACGCTAGATTCATGCCACTGCAAGCAGAAAAAGAGGACGATGACGGGTGAGTGTGACGGTCCTAAGAGGGTATTCATTATCCCGGCAAGGCGAAAAATGCCTGCGGCTTTGTCGCTCTAGTATTGCATGAACGATGGGATACGAGAAAAGTTTCGCCGACTCAGCGAATACAATAGCAATTTTCCCGAATGTTGAAGAAATTAGGACTAGCAGCTAATGTATTTAGCGTCAAACATATCGTTATTGAACCAAGCACTCACGACGAAAAGAATGTAGTTACGTCTGTGATGTGGCTCGCGTCTACAAAACGAATGCTGAAGCTTGTAGAAACATTCCAGCCGTTTCCCTAGTCGCATTGATTCGTACGACTTTTTGTGGCAGCACCATATATACAAACTAAGAAAGCACCGGGACCCACTCACGTTACTTATGCCATGTTATGAAACCTTAGTTATGATTGCCTGGATGAACTAGTCCGCTAATTTATTAAGCACATTTGGGAGCCTGGGATTGTTCCCCCAGAACGAAAATAGGTCTCAATTGTATCAACCTCCAAGCATGGGAAACCCCTCCCCTTACAGAACCTTACCTATTTCGCTGACATTCTGCCTCGGCAACCTCTTCGAGAAAGTCATTCACGCGCGCCCACCTTGCTATCTAAAGGAACAAGGTTTTTTCTCTATCCACACGTATGATTTCCGCGACAACCTCTCAATACAAGACGGTTTTCTCCAGCTTTGGGAAGAAGTATGACGCGGCATTCGCTCGGGCACAAAACACATCTTGTATGATCTCGACCTGAAAATTTCGCTTAATATTATGAGCCACAACCTCACCTTCAAGGAGCTGAGCTACTCCAACTGTAGGAAAAGAATGTACCGCTATATCCGGTCTTTCCTCACTGATCGGACTGCAACAATGGGCTTAAGAGACGTTGGATCATCGGCTGTTTACATCCCCAATTAGAGGGTCGCCTCAAGGTGACTTGATATTTTCTTCAGTCTGGCTCGAGTCTATACGACACTTGGGCTATCCCCTGTGTGCCGATAGTATAACTTGTTAGGTTACCGGAGGCTCTCTCTACATTAAGGAAACTACTCTGCAGAAAGCCGCTCTGACAGTTCATTTAATTGCGTCGCTCCATAAAAAAGCAATTCGTTAAGATGCTTGGTAGGGTCACCGATGTAAACCACTCTTCGCATCAAAAGTAGAAGAGCATTCGATACGTGAGGCCGCACGTACTCGTACCCTTGGTCCTTGGACACAGGATTCGGGAAACCGAGCACGCGGACTACATCCTCAAAACATTTCACACTACTCCAAAACAAATCGCACGCATGGTACGTAGAGTGACTCATCGTCATAGAGCCTCTGAAGAGGCAGACAAGCTTCCTGTAATCCGACCCTTCATAGTTAACAAAATAAGGTATGGCCTCCCTTACGAAGAGCTCAAAGTCCAAGAGAAAACAAGTGGATACCCTCTTTCGCACTACCTACAAGAATGCTTTCGGCATACCAATGGGAATATCCACAGATCAACGTTTTGCCTGGAGGAACTTCAACACCTTCGAGGAGCGCAGTACCTCGGTCGTCACCCAATACAGCGACGAGGAACTAGACCTTCTTTACACTCCTATCTGCGCCAAAATTTATATCGCTCCTCTACAGAAAAACATAAATCCTTGCACCGCCGAGCGCGTAGCCATGCCAGAGCCCAGCAACTGACCAAACGATTCGGAACAGAGCCAGACATGGTTTATACGGACGCAGCCTGCAGCGGAATGCATTGTTTTTCACTGCCCGCGAATGGTTTGGTGTGCAGTTCGGGTTTATGGACCTGTGCTTCAGCGAAGCCATACTCGGTGAACCCGGCGAAAGTCCTCGTGGTAGGACTTGCCATTAAACCCAAGGAAGTCATGAGAAATCGATCTTCTATCCTCGCAGACTCTGAAATAGTCTTTTATTTCTCTAACGGCATTGTACCCGCGTGCCTCGCCCGCCTCTTAGGTGCAACAGTAGTCCAGTAACGCCGCATGGCGTCCCGGACACACAGCGAATACGAGTAAAGGTAGAGCGGACAGTGCAGCTCGAGCTATAACTCACCGATCGATTGTTCCTCGTCGAGTCCAGATACCCGTCTGGTATTTCAAGCTCCCCACACTCCTAGAGATATCTTAGAACAACAACATCGACAGTGACGGCGATACTGTCCGCTCCACTCTCGACTGAGTGTAAAAGAAGCGCACGAGTGGCACCGCCTGCAGACAAATACATTACCGCGCCTACGTTTGAAACTTGTGATGCACCCAACCGCATACGCCATTTCTTGCCCGGGGTGTGGAGCACAGGCAACACTTGCCCACATTACATGCGAATGTGAGTTTAGGCCAGCCAAAATAATAAGCCTGAGATTACGGTTTGAAAAATTCAAGACGGACCAGTGGGAGACTTTCCTGGCCAGCGAGGAAAAGGAGACCCAAGTGGCCTTCCTGGCCCAGACCTGGCAGGCGGCTGAGGCCAGTATAACCTTGTAATAGAGGCCCCACGCACCTGATTTTGACCCTTACTTCCTTCTTTTCTCGTAGTGGACTTTCTTCTAATCTACCCTTTGTACTTTGCCGAACAGGGTGAAAATTCCTGGGCAAACGCTTTCGTCTCGTGATGGGGGCGGCGTGTGCTACCCACGTGAAAGGAAACTTGAACATCGGCAAGCCTTCACCATAGTACAGTGCACGCCGTCCACTTCTCACCATGGACAGGTACGCATGTACGCGGCGACTTACCAAACAGAAAGCGCACGCCCGTCAGTGTTGAAAAGTGAATGGTGCGCACTATACTTGTATTGTATCCTGTATTTGAATAGATTTTCGGACGTTAAGCCCCACAGATCAATAATATTCAAGTATCAAAGTAGATGGACAGGCTCGCTTATACGCTCAGATCTGCCGAACAGGATGGGCGCGCATGTCAGTAGGGAAAACTTCTTGGTGCGCACTATACTATCGCGAAGGCTTGCCGCTGTTTGAGTTTCATTACGTCTCTTGCTTTCAATGCAAAGTGGCGTTGAAGTTAAATTCACACGAACATACGCCACTCGCTGCTGCAGCCACGTTTGCGAACAGAACGCGCAGCTAGCAACAGAAACACTAAACATTTGAGGGAGGTATTTTATCATGCTTGTTATGCATATATGTAAGGGTTCATTTCATGTGTCCCTTCTCTTTTACTTTGAGCACCAAAATTTAGGTGTCGAAGTGATGGTTTGTTACTTCAGCCTCGTCCTGTGCGTGTTAATTTTATGTGTCATTTCTGCCTATTCAGCGCACTGCAAGTATCGAGATGCTTGCTGTCGTTTTTCGTCACGTTCCAGTTCTCATCAATTTTATTGCTTCGCCCTCGCATCTAAACTGTGTTGTTTTCAGGTTTGCATTGATGCCTATTTTTGATGGGATTTATTATATCCTGTATCCAAGTAGAGGTTCAAATGAATGACCAGAAGCAATGCATGATGACTATAGGGGTTTGCAGTCGACCAAGATGAAAATTTATGAATGTAGGCGTTAGCGTTTGTACATTCACCTCAGATGATCCTATTCGATCATTCCAGCGACTAGAGATGGTACAGCGGTAGGTCGAAATGGCGGACGAGACAGTGATGTCGCAAGCGTGCACGACAGCGTCACAGAGCGTGAAGATGCGTTCATTGGTTCATGACTACTGAGAGACCGAAGTGCGCCGCAGATTATCACCGCGTGACAGCTTCAGAGTTCGACTGCACGGCGCCACCTGCGTCGCTGGAATGACTGAATAGCTGCCGAATACCACTACGCATGTCCAAGCTTTAATACTTCAGGGCACGATGAATGCCCAGTTACCTTCGCGAAGACATGTACCTTCCTGTGGTATGGAGCTTCTTTTGACGGAGAAATCTGCCATGTTCTGAAATGCTAAGCATATATTGCTTTCGTACAGTCATTGAGCGTCTATATAAGTATCAATTTATCTGTCTATCCAGACGCCTACGTCTGAACGCTTTCGGGTCCACCCATGCAACTTTGAGTAAACCAAGATTTTGATAGGAGGTTATGATGGTTTGACAAATAAGACTCGCTGGTCATGAAGAGAATAATAAAAAATCTCGTCGCGTACACAAACCATTTACACCAAATGTGTGACACATATCCGCGCGCGGGTAGGTGCCATAGGTATACCGGTATGTTTCATATCTGAATGAACGAATGAATAGACTTTATTAAAGTCAGGCAGTTTTCTAGGGCGAGGTGGGGGAAGAGGGGATAAACCCTTGTCCCTTCCCACTCTCAGTTGATTATGATGGCGGTGTCTCAGGTCACCTCTCGAAGTCCTTGTACCCGGGCGGCCTCTTCAGCTTGCCGGGCGCATGATAGTTTGTATCTACCCTAGAATGGCGAAAACAGACATGGGTAATTTCAACGCGCGAGCGTTGAGAAACAGTTCACATCGGCTGCTTTGCCCCCTTCAATACAAGTAATAAATGGCAGGGCCCCAGCATAACTTTAACCCCTGCAGCATTCTACATTGGACTCAAATATTCTACCACAGAGCAATGCCGGGGCTTGGAACTTTGTTTCAAGTAGACCCTAATGTTCGTGAAACATCACTTGTGCTTGCAGTGCCGAGTATCTGCATGTATAAGCATTATATATTGTAACGAACAAACACAATGCCGGCAGGTAGAACAACTCAATATTTTGGGCCAACTTGTGCCCGTCAACTAAATACACAGAGATTGTCTTGAGCTTGCTAGTCCAACACTCGTCAATTTTTTATAGCGCCTTGCCGCGCGCCGCTCTTTTGAAGAGCCGCCAACCTTCTTTATTCAGCGTGTGGTGTGGTGACAAGTGCAGTGCAGCGTTGCATGGCGAGTTTTGTTTGGCGCGTTTTGCTTGTCAGTTGATGTGGCAGAAATTGATTTATAAGAGCAGGAAGCGGCGTATTACTTCATCGGGTGTCTACTAAATACGGCAATTTTTACTGCTATGATACAACCGGCATGTCCGGTTTACAGTTAGTTGCCATCCGTTGAAGTGGGGTAATGCTGCAGTGTTCAGAGTACCATCCTAGCGAGCACCAGCGCGAAGCTTACCGCTTCTGGTGTTGCTAATATTCCCGTTTTCGTTGACACCATTACACAACTGTAAACAATTGGTTATGATGAAACATATACACTTGTTTAGCGTGTGTCTGCGAGTGCATTATTTGTAAAGTCAGAACCACTTCCGAACGCTTCGATCAAAAAAAAAAAACAACCTAAAACAGAGTCACCTTCCATGCGCAAGTTTCGCATAACGTCGATCCCCAAGGTACCTGGGATCTGTCGACTTTTTGTTTAGTGCCAGTCGGGGTATTCACCTTACCCCCTCCTTAAAAAACCTTCTGCACCTTATTTGTCACGTACCCTGACAGTCACCGCATAAAATCCCTTTATTGGACTTAATATAATGATAGTCCAAGTTGTAGTGAACCTTGGCGTCCTGATTACGTGATCACGTAACAATATTTCACATTTCTTGAAATGAAGCAAATGCCGAGACATGAAAAGTCAATAATTGCGTTTAATAACGTATCTAATTCTTTCATATTTATTTAAAGCACTGTTTAGCACCCTTGATGCTTGCTTTATCGGTACCTATCAAATCAACTGTATGGTCATCTGCGGTATCGAATCACTGTCGAGACTACAAATGTATGAAAATACGATACAGTATATTTCACACAAAGAAACATGAAATAAAAAAATGATCCTAGTTCCCGAAGGAAATTGTGGAGAAATGTGCATGAATTGCGTAGAATTGCGTAGTGTCCATAACGGCGTTTCGCATAAGAGAACCCAGCGTTAGAGTATTAATGTTTTCTTTTTTTTCGTACACTGTGCAAGCAGTAGTGCAGTGCGTTGCACGTGGCACTTTCCTGTCAAGAGAAACGCAGCATGGGTTTCAGCTCTATTAGCTAGTGAGCACGGTTAAAAATGCCCAAAAGCGAACAAAACAAACAGTGTTCTTGTATCGGCGTTGGCGTTCACAGTGGCGTCTAGAGCATACAATGGCGCGTGTTCTTGCGAGAGAGAGAATAAAACAGTTATTGATAATAAATATGCCGCTGTAGTGGTTAGACCTTCTAGTCCGGAAGACCATTGGCTCTTGCCGCCATCCGAGCTTGGTCGACCAGGACCTGTTGCTGCACTGTGTCAGGTCGGAACAGGGCCGCCTCCCACTCGACCATTGTAGGATTATGATTGGCCAACATGCTGGCATTATTTTGGCACTTCCAGACCATAGGAAGTAAAGTGGCCATCTGGGGACAGAATTTACACTGCGATTTGTTCATCAAAGGGTTTATCATGAACAATACTTAAGTATTTGGAAATACTGATGGTTGTAGTTGTCTATGTAGTTGCTGATGGTTGTAGTTGTGATAGTTGTAGTTGATGGTTGTAGGTGTAGTTGTCTCCACGTGACCTGCAATGCCTTACCTAATTTATAAGTCAGGGGGGGGGGTTAGAGTGTGCCTACTGAGCCTGATGTGTTGCAGGATGTCCGTATACAAAAAGAGGGGCTGGGAATCGTCCTGGTCAGCAAGAATGTGCGCTGTAAATTCAGCAACGGAGGGACGGTGTAAGAGATTGCGGCGGAGGCATGGGAGCGTTCATTGCCTCTCACTCCTGTGGGCCCTGGTACCCATAGCAATTGTATTCACTCACCATCGCATGTAACGTGTTGACGCCGGTGCTAGACGCCATCGACGGTTAGATTTCGTGCTTGATTAACCTAAGGATTAGTGTTGACGCCGAAGCTGTACGACACCACCAATGGTTACGTTTTGAGCTTGATGCATGTAACAAGTTGACTCTAACGCTGGACACCACCGTTAATTACGTTTCGAGCTTGATGCATATAATAGAAGGCGTTGGCAGCGTTGGCAACATGTTGACGCCGACGCTGGACGACACCGCCGACATATCACGCCTGATGTATCAAAAGCGTTTGCCTTCCCTATTGCAAATACAGCGTGATGCCAGTACGTTTTTTAGCACTGGTACACACTGGAGACACTGGTACACGCTTGTAATCACTCACACTTCGCTGGTCGCACTGGGAAAAAGCTGTGTCGCACTGGTATGGGCGCTGGCTCGGCCGCGTTGATGCTGGTGCGCACTGCGGAGCGCTAAAAGCACTGGAATGTTCACTGGCAAGCGCTGGTGACCATTGGAGCACGCACTGTTTATACCAGCGCAGCGTGCACGTTATTGTAGCGTGTGCCCTGGTATGTTTCGGTGTCTTTGAATATAAAATGCTTGATTCAACGGCATGGAGAGGTGCTACCCTAAAACAGATACCGAGCATACGTAATTTTTGCGGTGCACGTACGTATCGCAGCAATTATAATGCACCTTTTTCGCTTATGCCCCTGCGTATACCAGCCATATTCGCATCATCCGTGTATTGCCGTAACGATTCCAAGTTGCAGTGTTTGTAAGCCTGGAGCTGCACGCCACTCCAAACACCAACAGGAAATTGTTTCTGCCACAAAGTTGACGAAACCTAAGTCAGCCCTCTCGATCGCTTCGCAAGGTTTCACAGCGGAGGCGAGAAAAAAAGGTGTCATTCGATTCCGTCACACCGCATAAATGTATGCCTTGCCATGCTTACCCTTCTACTTACTTCAGGTTAGAGTTAGAAACGTTGTGAAACTGAAATGCAGAATCTTCAACCATCCCAACTCACCGCGTCGAGAGCGGTCTTACCCAGTGCCCAGCCCAGCGAGCATTAAACCTGTCGTACCGGCCGCGTTGGTATATACGTTACCGGCTCTTCTTGCTTCGTGTACACGCAACTTCAAAGTGTGAGAATAGCTGTAAAGTATAGTGTAGACAACTATGAACCTAAATAAACTATTTTGTCTTGTGCCCAAGTTCACTCAAGGAGCGCTGACGATCGAACGTCGCGCTTTCGGCAACGCAAGCTGTCACCAAAAGCTGCCGGCCGCACTTAGCCGGTGCGTCTTCGACTGATATGTAACAACACACAATTTTCAGTTGGTAATTTGGTACGCCTTCGTGAACTGACTTCATGGAATACGTCTTCAGCGTATTGCATTGGTATTTCTATGGGTGTTTTTTAATTGTTGGTATTTATATAACTGCATATATCTGTACACTGGCACGCCCGCTGTATACTGCCAGCGGAGGCCAGAAAAACGGCTGTCGCTCGGCATCGCCACTCCGTAAATGCATTTCTGGCATTGATTGACCTTCCACTTCCTTCAAGTACACTCTAGGTAACAGTTAGAAATGTTGCAAAGCTTCAATGGAGAAACTTCAAGCATCGCAACTCAGCTGCTTCGAGAGCAGCCTTAGCAGTGCCCCTATTCAGCGAGGCCTATCGTGCCGGCCGCGTCGGTGTACATGGTGCCGGCACTTTTCACTTTAAGTAGGCACAGTTATGAAGCGTAAGAATAACTGCAAAGTACACTTTACACATCCCTGAGCCTGAATCAACCAGTTATCCGCCTGTGCGATGCCAGCACAAGCAGCAACGACGATCGATGTGTCATGCTTTCAGCAACGTAGGCTGTCACCGGAACCTTCCTTCTAAGCGCAGGAGCCGGTACTTCTCTGACTCGTATGTAAGAACACGCAATTTTGAGTTGGTAATTTGGTACGCGTGAGTGAACTAACATACTGGCATACTTTTTCAGTGGATTGCATTAGTCATTTCTTCGGTGGTTTCTTAGTTGCAGGTATCAATATAACTGCTAATATCTAATCTGGCATGCCGGATGTGTACTGCTACATCGTAACTTGCGCAAAAAAACCCCTCAATATTCACTTGTGTGCGTGGATATCTATCAAACAAGACATCTAAATCATCTGCACATGTTGACTGGTAGCAAGTGCGAGAACCGACTATCAAAGGAAAAAAGCATCGGCAGCAACAGCTGAGAATCTGTGGCTGCTCTTCCAGTCAGTTTGAGATTTTTCATAGTTAAGATGCAGATGTTTTAAAAAACTTTGCGCTCTTGCTAATATCCCCACGTAATGCGGTGCCCAAAAGACGTTCATCACTGTCGAATCAAGACGCAATTGTTATTTGGAAAGGAATATTGTTTTATTCTTGACTGTGTGACTTGTAAACATGAAGTTGAATGGCGCCTTTTCTGGATAAATGGTCGTTTTACAACCCCATTGGCATGTTCTGGCGTGGCGTAGTGGGTAGCGTACTCAATTCGAAATTAGTAGGTGGAGAGATTGAATCCCGTCAAGAGGCGTTTGATTGTTTTTTTAATTTTAGACTTTTTTTAATTTCAATGTTAATTCGCATATTTTACTTCTATATTTATTTATTTATGGCAAATGGGCACCCCCGTTTCAGCCCTGTGAAGCCAGTTTGCGCAGAGTCGGTAAAAATCTTACAGATCACGAGTAGCTCGGGCGGGGGCATTTTACGACTGGCGTCAAAATGGCGGCGCAGAAAAAAAAAAAACATGCTAAATTTGACGCAAGCTGGAAATAGAGTGCCCGTTTTCCCGCTGATATTGGCTGAGTTTATTGGGGTACATGCCGAGATGTCATCACCCCCCCCCCCCCCCAAAAAAAAAAGTGGTTCGGTGTTTAACTCAGTAGTTCGGCGTAAAGAGCGGCGCCCAGCTGGTTGCGATGCGCGCTCATCTTCTCCCACGCGTGCATTGCTCCGCAGAAGGAAGGGCCTCATCAACTCACCGATCCTGTGGTGGGAAAAAATCGCGTGCTTTCGGCTTTGACCGGAATAATTGTGTATATTACTGGGCACACAGTGATTACTTTGCTCGCTGAACAGGCCTCGTACGAAGCACTGACTAGTATTGGTTTTCTCGTGTATATTGATGGTCTATAGTATGTTTCTTTTAATTTTCCTGTTGTCACTCAGGCTGGACACTAAAGAGCCAAGGTACAGATGCTGTCGGGGGGCTTGGGCAGTAATATCGCTGGTGCTGTTTGCTTCAAGCCTTGTCGCAGGTGAGAACTTGGCCCACGTATTAGTAAACTTGTGACAATGCAACATTCAAGATCAATTACCTTGAATAGGATTGAAATGTTCAAAGCGCTTTTTGCTATCTACTACTTTTCTTTCTATATTTTCTTCGTGAACACAACGGAAGGAAAGTCCTTCATAAAGAAAGAAAATGATGGCGACAATCACCATAGTCCTCTACAAAATCAGAATCAGGAAGATATTTATTTTCCAACAAACTTTTTGGTGGTCTGTCAGACAAAATGGCGACTCACGCAGGTTGAATGCGCCTGAAGGCCCTCACATGGCAGCAGTAACGTCAAAATTAGCATACTACACGTTTTCAGTATATATGCAAAAATACATTAATTTTATGGTATTTGAAGAAAGGAACATATTGGAGGTACTAGCAAACACAGATTATTTAAAAAAATATAATGCTAATGCGTTTTGTAAGTGGAAATGAGAAAATAGATTTGTGTTCATAAAAATACAGTTGTAGCTACAACACCAAAAAATCACTGGTATAAACATGACTGTGATGTACAATAAACTGTTTATCGAAACAGTGAGGGTCGAACGCATGAAAAATGCGAAATTGTAGAACTCTTTTCTTAAATTCCTCATTTATAATCGCAAAAGTATTTTCGATTTTGTTGGCACGTCAAGCTATTTGAAATGAATCTCTCCCTTTTCAATTCATTTACCGACGAAGGTAAGCTACCTGTTTCCTTGACTGCATGAGATAATTTGTGTGCCTGTAAGGTACAGGTCACATCTATTACCTACGAGTGCGTGAGTCACTTTTTGTAATAAAGTGGTAGCATATTTATTAAAAAGGGTTTGATATTTTTGGAGACAAAACAAAACGACTGTAGAAGTCAATGTTTTTAAAGACTTGCCACAAGTAATACAGATTTTTTTGAAAAAGTGGCGCAAAAGAGTAGAAATAGGTACATTCGATTTTTGTCGAAGCGCTCGTTTTTGAAGTTGAATACGTGCATGAATGTTATTTTTATTAGGGTGGTGGCTCACACAAGAGCGCAATTGATGAGACGAGATTTAAACAAGGCGTACTATATCTTGAATTATACGCTCTCCCGAAAAAAAAATATTGTCGACAGCAATATTGCACACCAGCGGCAAACGGCAGCAATGTTGAAACTAGTTAAACCTGATGGGCCCAATTCATATATTCTGAAAACGTAACGGCTGATACTTAATTTCCTCGGAACTTCAAAGGGTGCACTATCCAAAAATAATTTTTCACAGAAACAACGTTGCCTCCTTTTAGCTCTGAATAACACTGCTTTTGATTTTGAGCAGTTAATTGTTAGCGCATTATTCTGAGACCAGGCCCAGAGATGGAAAAAAATCTGGGAGATTTCTGCAACACATCATCGAGTTTATCGCCAGAGACAACAAAAGTAGTATCTTCAGTGTAAAGCGAAATGGATGATTACTAGCAATTTAACCAGTACCATTTACATAGACAATAAATTGTGTTGGTCCCAATACGGTGTTCTGTGGTACTCCCGCTTTAATTTCACGATATCGGAAGCAGAATTTTTCAATAGCAAAACACTTAGTCCACCCAGAAAGGTACGACAGAAACAACAAGTTCACAACGCCGCACATACCATAGTCGTTTAGTTTTTAAATTAAATTTATGAGTTAGATGATCAAATGATTTGCTATAATCTATAAACATAGCTAACATTAGTGTACCCACGTTTACGCTATCAATTACTACATCCTTTTGACGTAATAATGCTGTCTTTGATGACTTGCCTGGGCGGAACCCGTGCTCACAGTCGAATAGAATGTTATTATTCAAAGAAAAATGTTGATTCGTGAAGGGGTCTCCTTCGCTGAACCTTGAAAAAAGTCAGACTAAATAAAGATTGGCCTGCAGTTCTCCAAGTCCTTCTGATTACCAGCTTTTGAAATCACTGACACCCGGCTTTCTTCATTCTACGCCGGAGATTGCCCAGTTTGTAGAACAAGATTAAACACACATGCAAAACGGATTGCGATGACGTCTATTAAAAATTTAGTTGGGATGAAGTTTTCATGCTCGCAAAAGTACGATGAATGTCGGTGTCGTCAGTCGGTTCGAGAAAATGTTGTGCGTACATCTGTTAACATGAGTGCCATTGACCACGCCATCTGACAACGTAATCATGTTCACGAAATAACGATTGAAGTGTTCAGTGGAAGTGCCAGCCATAAGTTTTTCAATATTTAGTTTAGCTTCTTAAAAAGACTGTTTCACATTTTTTAAACTTTTGTCATTGATAATTTTTCACGTTTTATATCTGTATTTGTTGTCCGTACTCATGCTTTATATATTAGATTTTTTTATCGATACTCACGCTTTGTATATTAGTTTTATAGTTTATATAATTTATATAGATATTTTTATAATATTGCAGTGTAGCCTTTGGCAGTTCTTTGTTTATTGCAATACGCATCTTCTCCAATGCAGTAAGATCGCTCTAATTACGAGTCCGCAATAATTTACCGAATAAATTACTTATTTATTTATCATCTTGACGTGTTGAGGCTGCACCCAAAGCTTTCTAGTAGGTTTCTTTGCCTTGCCTGTTTTGAGCGCAAACGACAAATTGTGGAGACGTGTGAAAATTCCCAGGAACTTACCATATTCCTCACTGGCATCTTTTTTTTTCTGTATAAAACGAACCACTGTGTGCGCAGCACAAGTGTTCGAAAATGTTTAGTATTTTTTCTTGACAAACATCGGTCACTGAACGTGGTATCTGGCAAGCATTTTTCATGAGTATAAAATGAGCGTGCTAGTATATTGGGCATTGTACGCTGATATCATAGCAGATAATCCCAGCTGAGAAAATCTGTCTACCAGTGTCAACGACAAAATTATCGAAAGCCCATTTACAAGCGGCAGCCGCACAAGTAGGCGCTGTGATAATGCTGCAGAATTTGGGGGAATTCATAGGGTTAGTGATGCCAGGGGCGGAAATGCCATCAGCTAGCATGTTAATTTTCAGATCACCTCCGAGAAGCACTTTATCATTGAGAAAAGAAACGAGCTTTGAAAGCTTTTCAATTATTTCTAAGAAATTAAGCATGTTGCCAGTAGGCGCGCGCGCGCGGTCGGTGAATCATAACAAGGAGAAGTTTTCGGATGGCCTGAGGTACGAAAACGCTGTGCCGAACAACGCTTGCGTACTTGGTCCCAGAAGCTTGGTGAGAATTTCACAAGCTATACGGAGGACATTCTGAGCCTTTGCAAGCGATTCAACAGGTCGATGTCTAAAGAGCTTAAGATCAAGCACATCAAGAAGGGCATTCAGGATCATGCTTTTCAAATTTGGTATCCAATAGTCCTCGCACTGTCCTTGAACTAACTGAGTTATGTCCGAGTTTGGACGAATTACGCATGCAACTTCTTTCCACCCGACGTCCCTCAGCGCCCTACGACTCTTTGTCTAGCCTGTCCACCCTTGGCATAGGAGAGGACCATATGCCCCTATTCTCTCAAAGATCTAAGAGTTCACACGCTAAGGTTGCTCTTCAACTCTCTTTAATCTCCTCTGTACCCGAACAACTACACAGTTTCACGCCTACACTCCGCGACTTCATTCAAGTCCAGGTGGCACAAGCTCTTCCTCCCGCCCGTGAACCACCGCCATTCGCCGCACCACTCACTTATTCCGAGGCCGTTGCTCGACCTGGACAGCCTCCGTTCTTCCCAGCGCCTATGTATTCGCCTTCGCCCTTAGTGGCCGCCGACCTATTCTCCTCCGTCTATGCCGATAACACCCTGGCCGCATTTCCCTGCCCCCGAGCTGCAAATCGGCGTCTGCTTCGACGCATGACAGACCTACGACAACCGTCCGATAGGTTTTGCTTGTGACGGTGTTGGCCACATGGCGCGTTATTTCCATCATCACCCGGCTGCTCCGAACATTTGACAAATGCCCTCTTTCAACGCTCTGTTTTCTTCTGAGCTTCCAGCTCTCCTTCCTCCTCCTTTTGCCCTGGTTGCTCACTCGGCCCAACCCACCACTTTCCATCTTCACGTCGACGTTTGCCTTCCCCTATTCATCGTCGTTCTGGACCGATCAAGCAGGAAAACTAACGGCCGCAGTTCCCTAGGCAAGAAATGCGTCCACACGAGTCCTCGCCCCTGTCGAGCTAAGGCCATTGAAGTGTCAGTCGATCGTATCATCGTCATGGCACTTGTCTAAGCCGGAGCCTCTCTATCCATTCTTTCTGCCCACCTGTGCCGCAAACTCTGCAAAGTTCTGACACCGTTATCGGATCTCTCTCTTGGAACGGCTAACGCACAAAGCGTGGCACCTCTCGCAGCCTGTACCACGTGAGTTGTCATCCAAGGGCTTGTGTATGTCGTCGAAATTGTAGTGCTGCCCTCGTGTTCCCATGATATAATACTCGGCTGGGACTTCCATACGAATGATAATGCCGTCATTTACTGCTATCTCGCCGAACTTGAGATGTCTACACTTCCTCATGTTGACGCTGTCGAAGCCTCCCTCCCGTATTATAAGCTGTCTGTTTCTGACGACACCACCATACCGCCGCGCTCTTTTCTGCTGGTGGCTTTGCGTGTGATCCTTTTTTCAATGGTAATGTTCTCTTTATTATTTGGCCTGTTCATTCAACGGAAATGTTCTCCACTGCCTATTGCTCTCCTTACTCTGCACCATGGCGTCACGAAGACGCTCGTTCGCAACACGCTAAGCGGCCTTTACCTTTGTAGCGGCCGGGAATGTCGGCTGCCGGAGGCAGCGAGAAAGGAGACGTGAAGCTGGTTTGGAGTTGCAGGGCAAGACTGTTTATTTCCACTCCGTGCGAGTGACGAGAGCTCCCCTCGACGAGGGAGAGAAGGAGGCACCCCCGCGTTCTTCTACAAGAAAGAGGAAACGGGGGCCACCAAGCGAGCAGCCGTAGCATGCCGCCGGTCTAATCCCCGGAGCCGGCCCCGACAACACGTTGTTCC